AGTTGTTTCCTCACGATGTTTTCCTTCACCGTTTGTCAGTAGTGTCCAGATAATCTTTAAAGTACATATAACTCGGGAAAAGTCTCTTTGGTACTTGCTTTTCGAAGGTTTCGTACTCGCACCACGAAATTATAGCTGTATCTATAAACATTTATTTATCTGTGTTATTCTGTTACACCACCGCTGATGAAAATGTTAAGACTATAGAGTTTTTAGGCTTTTGTATACACTTTTACAAACAACTTCTTGATGTAAACAGATTACTACGATATAATTCTTGCTAGTTAATTATTATGTGTTCGGCTTACTCACGTAACTGTCAGACGTCTGTAATAAGTCCGTCACACATTATCAACTGTAACTCCATTAGGCCCAAACTTATAGTGGCTCAGTGATATGAATGAAAAAGGATTGACGTAACTCAAAACATTTCCAGGTCTTGTATTTGTGTGCGGTTCACGCGATGGTCTGATGACGGTCACTGGTCGCAAGCACAATATGGATGACATTATAGCCACCGTGCTGGCAGTAGAACCTATGAAGTTCATATACCGAGGACGTATCGCCGTCTTCTCCGTACGAGTGCTACGTGATGAGAGGATCTGCATCGTCGCCGAGCAGCGCCCGGACTGTGGCGAAGAGGAGGTACGCGTATGTTCCTTTCTTACTAGATTTTTATATTAACAGTGACACATAAATCTTCTTTCGTGCTATCTTATTATCATCTCCTTCTATCTGCACCTATTCAAAATTAACAAAAATTATGTTGAAGTCATTTGAATCACTAAATTGTATTGTTAAAGCAACAGTACTCAAACACAACCAATTAATAGGAGTGACACGGTGTTCTTAGTCAAACAAATTCATTGTATCGTCTCTAACTCGCTCTCTAGCTGTGATATTTGCAAACATGTCAAATACTCGAACAATTTCGGAGCAAGATGAGAAGATGCAACGGCTAATATTTGTTCAATGTAAATGTCAATGGCACAGTCAAATCAAACATTGTTGCATACCAAATATCTATCAATTGAATGTTACGTGAATCCAAGTATACCAGAATACTTGAGTACTAACTTATATTCATCGCTTTTGATCTAGTTGTTACACAATTTTACTTCCATTTTTTTTTTAATACAAATCCAAGATTAATTCTTTCATAATTACCTACGTCATAAAAACAATAATTTTTATAATACTTTTAATAAAAACTCACTATTCATATTTCCACTTTTTGTCGTGAAAACTGCAACAAAAACAAAATAAAGTCAATCAAACGCTTTGATAAATTTTTTGTACTTAAAATATTCTGTTATAGTTTTAATCAAACACTTTCACAATCGGTGGGAAATGAATGTGGAAAAGCAAATAAAATCAATGGTTAACAATGGATTAATGTTTATTTTACAAAATTAATTGTACATTTACGTACCTGTTTCAATCGTGGATTTAAATGTCATTCATTATTTTTTAGATAGCTTTTTACAGCTAAAAGTTGATTTTATGCTTAGATAGTACTAGTGCAAGCATTGGTACGATATAATATAACTGAATAGTTTTGTTGTCAATCACGTAATCAGATCGTCTCGGCGTCGATGTTGGCACTGCTGTTCATCGAGTAATATAGAAATAAGGCTAAATCAATATGTTGGTGTATCGCCATACTATCGGGGTCCTCATAAATGTCGCGACGAGTGCCGCCGATAAATACGCTATTAAGTATCAGATATTTTCGTAACAGGGCACTTAGTGATAACAGTGTGCTGGCATACTGCGACCAGTACAATAATGATATCAATACGAAGCGTGTCTCTGGATGACATGCTAACATGTATTGTATATTATATACTTCCATTCATTTACCTGTTTTCTTACCACCTCGTTAAAAATTGCAATACAAATTTGCATTATTGCAATACGGACATTGTAGATTGTAGAAGAACACTTTATAAAATGATATAACTGATTTAGATAATAGTTTTATTTCGGTTAAAATACAGTAACTTACACTAACACTATTCTTAAAACTAATGTGATACTTATTCATAATTTTAAATCACGTACAACATTTTTTAAACTACTGCTTCCAAAAGTAAATGTAGATAAGCTCCCAGCTCCAAGCAGCTCATTAAAATCTCTGAAAGAAGAAAATAATTATCCAGTTCTTCATAAGTCTACTCAAAAATACTTCGTCCTTAGTCGAAGTTGAAGTTGAACATTAAAATTAACCAAAAATATGCGATCATTAATAATATCTTACAAAAGCATTTAATAAATAATATAAAGCAATAATAATTTGATAAATTTCATCAAAAAACCAAAAACAGCTTACCTGAATACGCACATTACGATGTCAGTGACGTAAAATGTAACGGTATTAAAGTTTTGCGGAAGAGCGACGTGCAGTCTAGTCTCGGTCTACATTGCGACTGACGCAGTCGCAGACTGCCGGGTTTGTAGTTTCATTTTTCATAACCGGAAGGTAAGAGACAGCAATAATAACTTCCGAATGTGCACGAATGCTATCGTAAATTGTTTCGATGACATCCTATTCATATAAAAGTTTTCGAATGCACCTGTTAGTGCAATTAATTTGCCTTAAACTGTGCCATCTGACGAAAATATGCTAACCTCACCGTTATTTTAATTTTTTCCTTACTAAAATATAGTTTGTAAACTCCCACCAATTGCAGTAAATTTGCACACGGCATCTATTCAACTTTCCCGCCGAAACATGAAAGCCATTCGTTTGTTTACGTTCTTTCTCTGTCTCTCACATATCACTACACTTAAAGTGCGATATTTGAAATATGTAAACACAAACATGTTGATAAAAATAATGATTGAAGTTAATCTCGTTTTCAGTCGTTCCAGTGGATGTCCCGCGTTCTTCAGGCTGTGGATTCGATTCACCAAGTGGGCATCTATTGCCTGGCCTTGGTCCAGCCCAACTACCTTCCTAAAACTCCCCTGGGCGGGATACATCTTAGCGAATGCAAGCGTCGCTTCCTTGAAGGCACACTGCACCCAGCCAACGTGCTGATGTGTCCTCACACTTGCGTCACCAACCTCCCCAAGCCGAGAGAGATCCATTCCGGTAAGACCACATTGATTATTAACATATTATAGTAGTGTTAAGTTTATTTTAAGTTCTTGTGCACTTGCGATTTATTTTTGACCTTCTTTGGTGTTACTTTTGTTGGCTAAATGTAGGTTTTTTGTACATTTATGTAACTCACTTAATATTTTATAAAACAAATTCTAAGTTCATCATGCAGTATCTTACAAACTTTCCTAATAGTATGAACTGTCACACTCCAGTGTCATTTAAAATACTCATTAGCGGTTAGCACTATTAACATCATAATTAAAGCGCAGCTAAGCTCAGTTTGCATCAAAGGCGATTGATGAATAAATACGTAACTACGTACATGTAATAAATTAATATAAAATTTCTTGTATTGCAGTGCTCCAATATTTTTATTTTTGCCTTTGGCCAATGTTATTTTTCAACGAAAACAGAACAGAACGTTCTAAGCGAAATTAAATATTTTATTGTTCAGTTTATGAAGCGACCGCGCTGTCTGTTGAACACATTTTTATGAATAGTAAAGCAAGATTTATTCTTAGCCGTAGCTGTTGCCTAAGCAAGATGTATAAATTAATATTTCTTTGTTATTTGGTATAATGTTCGCTTGTGATTGTAAAGGCTGGCAGATAGTGTGTCGTGTTTTTAAGATGTCTGAAGATAATTAATTAATTATGTATTCATACAATGATAAAATTTACCATCAAAGCTGAACTGTGATTTACCCATTGTGTTGCGCCATGTTATGTTAATTTAAAACAAATAACATCATACTTATGTAATTTTGTATTCTAATATGTTTAGATGTGGGCCCCGCTTCTGTCATTGTGGGGAACTTAGTGCAGGGCAATCGCCTTGCTTCCGCTCAAGGACGCGACATGGGTTACACTGACGATTCTGATGCCGCCAGAAAGGTACGGAAATACATTTCTCATATAGTTGACACTTTGATTAGTCTTACAATAGTTTAATAAATACTAACGTCAGTATTTTCTCACGTTTCAGTATCAGTTCATCTCTCAAATATTGCGTTGGCGCGCACTGAGCACCTCTGACCACGTGATTTTCACGTTACTCAATTCGAAGGGCACTGTTTCCAAGGTCCTTACTTGCGCCGAACTACACAAGAAAGCCGAGAGGATCGGCAACTTGCTACTGGAGAAAGGACGGGTGAACACAGGCGACCACGTCGCTCTTATCTTCCCACCGGGACTTGATCTCATTTGCGCCTTCTACGGCTGTCTGTACGTCGGCGCGGTCCCAGTCACTATTCGCCCGCCGCACCCGCAAAACCTGCACACCACGCTGCCCACCGTAAGGATGATCGTCGACGTCAGCAAGGCTACGCTAGTCCTCTCCAACCAATCTGTGATAAAACTACTGCGCTCCAAGGAAGCCAGTAACGTACTTGATAGCAAGGCTTGGCCTCTAACCCTCGATACTGACGATATGCCGAAGAAAAAGCTGCCCATACTGTACCGCGCACCAACTGCTGAAATGCTCGCTTACCTGGACTTCAGCGTGTCGACGACGGGCATGCTGGCGGGCATCAAGATGTCGCACGCTGCCGTCACCTCGCTCTGCCGCTCGATGAAGATCGCTTGCGAACTGTATCCGTCGCGCCATATTGCTCTCTGTCTCGATCCGTACTGCGGCCTCGGGTTCGCCCTGTGGTGTCTTAGCAGCATCTACTCGGGCCATCACTCTATTCTCATCCCACCTTCTGAAGTCGAGATTAACCCCGGACTTTGGCTGAGTGCCGTCTCTCAATACAAAGTGCGCGACACATTCTGCTCATACGGCGTCATGGAGCTGTGCACCAAAGGCTTGGGTAGCTCTGTCAATCAACTTAAGGCGAAGGGCATCAGCCTGGCATGCGTGAGGACATGTGTAGTCGTGGCCGAAGAGCGACCTCGTATCAACTTGACCAATTCCTTCTCTAAATTATTCTCAGCACTCGGTCTTAGTCCCCGCGCTGTGTCTACATCTTTCGGCTGTCGCGTAAACATCGCCATCTGCCTCCAAGGTGCTTCTAGCCCAGAACCTTCTACTGTTTATGTAGACCTTCGTGCTCTGAGAAACGACCGCGTGTCGCTTGTCGAACGAGGCAGCCCACATTCGCTCTGCCTTATGGAATCCGGCAAATTGTTGCCTGGAGTAAAAGTGATTACCGCTAACCCCGAAACTAAGGGCCAATGTGGCGACTCCCATTTAGGCGAGATATGGGTGCAGTCGCCACACAACGCCAGCGGATATTTCACCATATACGGAGACGAAAGTGATTATGCCGATCATTTCAGCGCTCAGCTTGTGACTGGAAATACGGGCGAAGTGTACGCCCGCACTGGATATTTGGGCTTTTTGCGAAGGACGGAGATAAGCTCGACTAGCCACGTATCGGACGATACCTCGATGATAACTCGCGACAGCGACACCGAGTCGCTGGCATCAGCTTGCGGCAGTCTCAACATCAGCGCGGAGACACACGACACACACGATGCCGTGTTCGTAGTCGGTGCTCTTGACGAGACTATCATGCTGCGCGGTATGAGATATCATCCCATTGATATTGAAAACTCTGTAATGAGGTGCCACAAGAAGATCGCCGAATGGTAATTCTTTTTTATTTTGACTATTTATTAACTTTCATTGCAACTTTGGAAGCGCAATGTTATTTTAATTGCGAACTAAATAACGTTCTGTATTTAACTTTCCAGCGCCGTCTTCACTTGGACCAACCTGCTGGTGGTAGTGGTGGAGCTGGACGGCAACGACAGCGAGGCGCTAAACCTGGTGCCACTGGTGACCAACACGGTGCTGGAGGAGCACCACCTCATCGTTGGCGTGGTAGTAGTCGTCGACCCCGGCGTCGTGCCAATCAACTCACGCGGAGAGAAGCAGCGCATGCACCTCCGCGACGGATTCCTGTCCGACCAGATCGATGCAATTTATATAGCCTACAATATGTAGGCCTCGAGACCAAGGCGGCCGGCGTCTCATGCTCAGCCGACCACCTCGTGTTGCCCCAAGTCAACAGGAGCACGACCTAAAGTGACCGCGTCCAACTCAAGGTCCCATCGTTAAACCATAAGACGTTCGAGTCAGTGAACCCAACTTCGACTTTTGTTTTATCTCCCTTCGTGATTATGTAATAACGGAACGGAAGATCTAAAGACTGCAAATGCGAATTATTTGTAAGCGGTTACGACTTGATAAGACGATCTGAAGTCGTAACTAGACTGATATAAGTCTGAACTTAGATTGTTTTACCTTTACCCTAATCCTCACTCGTAACTGACTCTCATTTGACATTATTCGATCACTGTAAACGGTCACACAGATATTACGACCGATACCCTCGGCCGCAGGCATGTGCAAGCGTTCTGATTATGCAGTAACTGTATGCTACGTCTAGAATAAACATTACAATAAAGTCGTCTTGTTGGTTCTTTCTGGAAAGACCTTTTCAATTTCTCGATACTTAATCTAATACTGAATTAACCAAAGTTAAAGTTATTCAGTTCTTAACGTCGACATCGTTGTATAGCGCCATCTATAAGTACTGCATTGACTGCATTTGTAAAACATCAAACAACGAACTTCATGCGTTTACCACAAGATGTTTCTATGCTCAACGTATATTAATAACTAATTTTGTACTATTATTCATTTTCAATATAAAATTTACATCGTCGTTATATTATCTAAAATTAATATCGTCTAAAGAATTTTATTTATATTAACCTTGGAAAATAACATCCAGGAAACTGATTTAATAATTAGTCAAGGTTTTGCCATATTTGGGAATCTAAAAGATTTCTTAAAAAACAATTAGACTAAGCCTCATTTATGACTGTATGTGTATGAAATGTATAAGCCGACAAATAAAAAAAAATTTTAAAATACTTTTAGATCCAATAAACGGTGATATATGCAGTGTGTTACAAGCCTAGCACAGTGTATAATAGCGACGAAACTGCAAAACAGTGGATACTCCAGGTTGCTCGAGCTGTCAGCGATGTAGAATCAAAACGCAGTACACGCCTGCATACTGCATAGTTGGAATGTAGTCTCGTTAGTAGGAGTTATTAAAGGACAGACATATGCGTAATCTTTTCGTAACACAATTATATTGTTGTGATTATCGTAAATCCATGATTTCTATGCTAGTGTGTATGTTAAATTATGTATTACGATAATATACTTAGTATTAGCGATTATTGCAAGTAAAATGTATTGCATTTAAAGTGTTAACGTTAGATTATCATTTATTTCAATCGTTGATTATATTTCGGCGCTAAATGTTCTCGCTGGCGATTTTGATCTGTTGAAGTATTTTTTACATTTCTAAAAGGTAAAAAATTACACTTTCTTTGTTTCTGTAACAGCCTGAAAATGGAGGGCATTTGTGTTATTACGTAATAGTTTACTATATTCAATAATACGATTAATCATAGTAATAGCCGTGTTTTTGCTAGTATCGTGACCGTTTTAACCCCTTAGGAACGGTTCAAATGTTTTAAATTTAAAAATCTTGTTGTCTATCGGTATTTTTCTGAAATTTCAATAATATGGATGTCTAGCAAGCTTGTCACATAGGACAGTAATTTCGTTGTTCATTCTTCGTATATTCGCAGTGTGAAACAAATATAATGCTTATTGAACACATCTATTTTGTGTCTATTCAATGTTAGATCTCAAAGAATAAGAAATAGTAATAATTATAATACATTGTATGTGTAATTCTTAATGGCATGTTTACAGACCTTCAACAGATTTCATTAAAATATTATTTCTATTATGTTCCATTCCAGTATACGTTCAGAACGATTATAACATTAAATGATTATTATTGAAAGTATGTCTTTATTAGATTCCATTATTTACTATTATTATTATTTTGTAATTATTTATTGCTAAATTGTACATATATTTTTTGTTATTTAATTTTACGTTAAATGATTTCATTATTTAGCTCTTAAATGTTGTTTTATTAGACGTGGAAGGTTTAATTAATTGATTAGGATCAAAATTGTTTCGATCAATGAATTCATGTATGTATAGGAAATAGTTCAGAATATTCCTTTAGTTACATTTATGAAGGTATCATTTTATAATTAAAAAATGTAGTCATTAAATAAGTATACAAGTAGATTAAACTCAGTTTTATGAACAAACGTTTGTTATTTGTAGTCCTTGATTGTATAAGCATGTTTGGGAATCGGCCAGTGCCATCGCGCACTCGGCCCCGTAGCGTGTATCTCGTATGCACACGCGCCCGGAGGCGACGCAGTAACCGCACTTGCATTGTTCCCATTGTATACTTACCATTTAACATTTTTGTAAAACTTTTATTGCGCACAAAAATTCAAAACAAATTTTTGGCAACTTTATACTATAACCCATTATTTTCTATTGTCGCCAAAGACATTATTTGGAACTTTGTAACAGCTTTTACAATTTGTGATTTTTTTTTTCTGGAAATGAATAAATAAACGTGCATTCTGGTTCGAATAATCAACTCGTTTTAATTACCCCTTTATACCTAGTTTTAAACTGTTGTTTTTTTATAATGCTTGCGTTGGCTTAGCAATTTTGTTAACGAATTACTTCAAGCTTTGCGTAGTGAAGTATTGAGAGGTCTAATGACAGATTAGACAGAGATTTAAACTATGAGCTCTACAAAATCTTTTAGTTCGCTGTATAAAAAATAGTATTACAGTACCTGCTGTAGTCCAAAAAGGAGCTCCATCTAGTTGTGAAGATCGACATTAATTTATTGGCGGCCCTTAGTTTACAGTTTAACCTTTGAACTGTACACAAAATGGAGAGGTCGCTGCTAACAATGTGTTAGTAAGTACTTAGTAACAATGTTGCAATTAGGATTCAGTAACTAAAATATTTCTTGTATACCCAAGGTCGTTGTGTTTCCCAAGGACATTGAAAAAAGGATCCTATTGAAGTCATATAATGTAGATAATGTATTTTCGATACTGGCACGTCACTCTTGTCGAGTTTCCTTTATTGATTCACAGATGGCGTAACATTAGCAAGAATCATATTATTATGTGAAACTGTTTTATGAAAATTTGGGAAATTTGGTTTTGATTAAGGGCTCGTACACAAAACTGCGATGCGACGTCGCATAGCAAATATGTGCGACCTCCCTCTACGCATCGCAAGAACTTGCCCGATATCTTCATTATTTCTTTTTCCTGTATCTCCTAAGCAATAACAGACGTGCACACTTCTTTTGACGATCCATGTCACGCTAGGTCGTTTTTGAACACGCTAGTAGGGTTGACGGTCGTTGAAGAAATGGTCACCATGGGAGACGCCTTGTCGCACGAAATCGCATCGCAGCGACTTACATCTTAATTTTTTACGTTGCGAATTCGCATTGCTGTTTTGTATACGAACCCTAAGGTCCAATTTTTAGACGCGCCAGATAAATAACTGAGGGAATACCTACTTGACAATATTCCATAATAAAGGCCGATTTTTCAACCATCAGGTGTAGAATAAAATTGACATGTGACAGTTTTTAGTTTGGAAGATTTAGTTATTATGCTCTTCGGGTTACCGGCTAGTTTCAAGCCATGCCAGAGGCTCATATTCATGAGCAGTATTCCACAACCCGCGACGCGTCGGTTGTCGCGCTGCTTCTGCTCATTAGTGCTCAGTCTAGTCTCGCTAGTCGAGGTCCTTGTGAAATCATTACGTGAGTAAGCGGAAAAACACAATAGGTAATTAATTTTGTATGTCTCACGAAAGTTATAATATAAACCAAAGAGTATAATAAGTATAGGGGATATAAACACAGAAGAACAGCCAAATATTCACAAGTTATTCCTCATTTAAAATTTATATGGCGCTGGAAAATTGGCTTTAACTGTCAAATGTGAATTTTATTCTACAGGAATTGATTAATGATTGAGTAATCGGTCCCAAAAAGTTTTGATGTTTGATGCATTTATTACAGCAACTTTTCTTTGCTCAATTTATATAAATTGGAATTTAATCTGGCGTTGTTCTACTCTAGGATCCAGTACAAACTGAGGCTCCGTGCGGGAATCGAACCTGCTGCACTGTGCTAACCATGCAGTCAATTTAAACTACCAAGTTAAAATTATATCTTATCTCATAATAACTATATCGGTAGTTACTTACGTAATTCTCGAAAACGTTCGCAGAAGTTTATTTATTTTACTTCGCATTATCTCCGAGTCTCTGCCTACCTCTACGGCAGACTGGCGTTACGGTATATATTTATACCTATTTACCTATATGTATACGTAACTAAATGAGAGATTATTTTCACTTCTGACATACTCGTGTTATTGTAATTTTATTTAAATGTTATATGTAAAACTAGTAAAGGAAGATTAAAATAAGCTTAGGTACACTATTTAACTGTCCATTATTAAATGCATTAACTTATCCATTACTTACCTAATCATAGCTTTACGTAAAAGTCGACAAAAAACTAAGTACAATGTTGATAATGTTGTGGTCAAGGTTTATTCGCAGACGGATGTTTAAATATTTAAGTATAGTAATTCTGTATCTGCATGCAAAGATAAATATTAAATTCATGATTTCTTGAGACTGCTGAGTGCTATCAAGTATCTAGGAGTTGATGCCCTAGTGAACCAAAATATTTTTAAGACTTCTATTCCTATAACATTTTAGTAAGAGAATGGAATCGGGCGACAGGCTCTTTAGTTCCTACGTACATACTAAGCACGTAACATAAGTGGTATAAGTGGGTACCTATTATGAAAATAGACGTAATACTATTACCCCCTCGAGATTAAAAGTCGTGATGCTGTGTTAAACATATACATACTTACGTAGCTGAACAACGAAGAGCATGAATACTAGTCATACCTGACTTAGCCTAGTTCAAATTCAGTTCACTGATGCAACTGAAACTCACACAGTATCTACTTACCGTCATCACTTTAAATGGCATTTGTCTTCCTAAACTCTTGAATTATGTTCTGTAACCTTTTATACTAGTAACCATTATCTTTATTGTAATGTAAATAAAACAATATCATTGAAGATTTTTTTCATTGCTGTTTACAATAATTCTCATTCTACTGGTAATAAAAATGACGTTGTTATATTTTTATGAATCACAATCATTTAGGAATATATTATCTAAACATTTGCATCATTAACTCCGGGGTCGTGGCTCTTCATAACTTCGAAGATAGTGTATTATAATTAACTACCTAGTTGCGTGCCATTCTAAAAAATATTAAGTCTGGGATCGATTATTTTTCATAGGGTTCTTCATCATCGTCATTCTTCAGACAGGTTAACGACGACTCCAATTTACCTTTGCAAGACTGCTAAGACACTAAAAGTCGATTCAATATGATTTTCAGTACTTCTTGAAAAATATCTCCCCAATCTCCGAATCCTCCACAATCTTCAAATTCCTAATTCCCAAAAGGCCGGTAACGCACTTGTAATGCCTTGATGTTTCAGGTGTCCATGGGCGGCGCCGATTGCTTACTACCAGGTGATTCGCCGGCTCAGTTACCGGCTTATGCTATAAAAAAATCCTTAAAGAGATAAATCTGTCCATAATGTTCAGACAAACCTGCACTCGTATAAATTGACCCTAACCTAGGTTAGGATGAAGAGGTTTCTACAGCTTTTCAGTCGATCTCTAACTACATCTAATACGGAAGGTTTTTTTTTAAAGGGGGAAAATAATCGAATGACTGCTCCCGCTCGGGTGAGGCGAAAGGGAGTGTCATACTCTTACTGACTAAAAACCACCCCGTTTCTTCTCCTGCACGGCGAGCCGGAGCCCCGGTTACCCGTTAGGTTCTCCGCGACAATAAGGAAGGTTTAGGAAC